CTACACCAGATGCTGGACCTGTGGATGACTACACCAGATGGTGGAACTGTGGATGGCTACATCACATGCTGGACCTTTGATGGCTACACCAGATGGTGGACCTGTGGATGGCTACACCAGGTGGTGCTGTGGATGGCTAACATGCTGGACCTGTGGATGGCTACACCAGATGGTGGACCTGTGGATGGCTACACCAGATGGTGGACCTGTGGATGGCTACACCAGATGGTGGACCTGTGGATGGCTACACCAGATGGTGGACCTGTGGATGGCTACACCAGATGGTGGACCTGTGAATGATTATTCTGACAGAGTTGATGCCTTGTCACTCCCAAAAAGGTAAGAGTGATGGCAAGGGTGAGTCCTGGGTTACGTTATTCTCTGGAAGGAGAAGAAATCGTCATTGTCGTGCGAGGTGCTTGAAGTTGATGCTTCTGGTGTATGTGTTAGATTAGACCTACTTAGTATGTTCCCTTCGTTGGGGAGAAGCCTTGATGCTAGCACAGAGCTCTTTATCTCAGGAATTGGGGTTTCCCTTCCCTTCCTCAGATCAAACCTGATTACAACCCCACTCTTACCATTACTTAGGTATTGTGTGAGTCTCACGGTCACCCATGAATGTAACTGTTAATATTATATATAGAGAGAGTTAACTGTATTACGGTCACTGCGAGCCACTAAGACTTCTTCCTCAAAGGCTGGAGTTTTCGTCCTTTGCACTCCAAGAGGAGGCGAGGGAGTATGTATCGGATCTTGGGGCAAATCGTTGATGAGGGATATAGCAGCTTTTCAGCTCATCTTAGTGTTGCAGCCCTCGGGTTAGTGTTGCAGTCCTCGGGTTAGTGTTGCAGCCCTAAACTTAGTGCTGCAGTCCAGTGCGTTGCAGCCCTCAGCTTAATGTTGCTATGATATTCCTTGTTTCTTGCTCAACTTTTCCCAGTATATATACTTCTGTGGCTGAGGGTTCCCTGCTTTAACTACTACAAGAAACTTGGAATATTTATCAATTTTTTTATTCCTTTTTATCTGTGTTGGTTCCACTTGTTACGGCAGCCTGTGTTGATTATTAACTTCACGTCAACTTTAGTTTTCTTTTGCTGTAACACCTGTGTTCTTCTTACGGTACCTGAAGTCTGTAGAACATTGTCTTCCATGCACAAAATTTTGTCCGTTCACCTTGCCCTCAGATATTTTCGTTGGTGTCAGTGATGTGCACCACAAACATTCTCAGTGCCAAAAGCGATCCTTGCGGTACGTCTATCATAACCTTCCCCCAGTAACACTCTACTGGTGCTACCCACACCATACTATCATAATATTTATTATTAACATGAGTATTTCATGTGTTGTAGCATCTTGTCTAATAAACTCAAGACAGGTGTGTGCAGCGCATCAATCGGAAATGGATCATACAACTGTAAAACAAAATATGCGTGTACGACCATTGTTCACCTCCATCAGTTGTGTACTGAGTGATGATTGTGCACCCAGAGTTGTGTACCTAAGCTCTGGGACTAGTTTCGTTGCAAACCTCTGCACTTTCTCCAATCTCTTGATGCGCTTGACCAGGTGTGGGTTCCATAGTAGTGCAGCGTACTCTAGTATTTGCCTGACGTACACGGTATACAGTGTCGTGAATGACTCCTTAGATGTCTAAAAACTAGTCTTAGATTTAATGCAGTGGTGTGCGTTAGTGAATTTGTTACCAGTTCTCAAAGCACGTGTGGTGTGTGTGTGTGTGTGTGTGTGTGTGTGTGTGTGTGTGTGTGTGTGTGTGTGTGTGTGTGTGTGTGTGTGTGTGAGTGTGTATACTATCCATATATTGTGACTATAAACGAGTGTCACAACTATTCTGTGACAGTCATTACCACGTACAATGACTCATTTTTTTTATTTCACTTTTCAGCTGAACCTCGGCATCCAGGTGAGTGAGGTGGCCACCCGCCCCTGCTACTACTATTGCTACTACTAATACTACTACTACTGCTATTTTCTCTCATGAAAGTCTTACGGACAACTAGTGACACTCTCAGATGATAACTGAAGTATAGCCTCATGCTTAGAATTACAATTTCCAGGTCCTGGTACAACTCCCAGGTCCTGGTACAGCTCACAGGTCCTGGTACAACTCCCAGGTCCTGGTACAACTCCCAGCAGGTGTAGTCTAGGCCTGCACACCTGGCTGTAGCATAATAACCACTTAGACACGAGCAACAAGGCAGCAGAGTAATTGTTTATATTTCCTTCGCCAAAAAATACGCTAATATATATATATGTCGTGCCGAATAGGCAGAATTTGCGATCTTGGCTTAAATAGCAACGCTCATCTTGCCATATAGGACAAGCGAAAATTTGTGTATGCAATAATTTCGCCAAAATCATTCTGAACCTAACGAAAAAAATATGTTTCACTGTGTTTGTTTAGTATTAAATTATTGTAAACAAATCTAAAATATATTTAGTTGGGTTAGGCTAAAATAAATTGTTCTTGTTATAATAAGGTTAGGTAAGTTTTCTAAGTCCCTTTTGGTGCAAAATTATAAATTTTTACATCAACATTAATGAAAAAAATATATCTTTAAGCGTATAAGAGAAAATTTTAGAAAGGACTTAATTTTAAATGAGTTCTTGCTAATTGACCAGTTTTACATATTCGGCACGACATATATATATATATATATATATATATATAATATATATATATATATATATATATATATATATATATATATATATATATATATATATATATTCAGGACCTGATTCGTGAATTTCTTTCGTATTACCAGTTCGTCCTGTTTTAAACTTTGCCAAAGTTCCTTACCAACTTATAAAAATAACTTATCTAGACTGATAAGTTATTTTTAATTTTATATTTAACCGGGTGATTTGAATTGGATTCGTCCACGGCAGCTTTAAGAGCGGAAGATAAAGAAGAGTCTCTTCGTTGCTCTTCCCGACAGGACAGTTCTTGGGGCATGGAAACAGAAGCGTCTGGCATTCCTGCGACCCCGGAATACGAAAGCCTAGATCGCAGCCCTCCAAGGATAGATCAGCATTCTTTTGCGACATTCCTTTAGACATTGCCCGAGTTATGGCCAGCATTGGAGAAGAGGCTTCATTGGTTACAATGGGCTCGGGACAACATCTAGAATTTAGAATATTGTTGTCAATATTCTCATGGGGAACGCTAAACCCGTAGGGATTATACAGTTCCTGTGGGGGGGGGGGATATGGAAGGTATTCAGGCTCAATTCAAGGAATTGGAGCACAGATCCAATTCGTCTGATCAAGAGCCCCTCACCAGCGTCAAAAAACCTCCCTTGAGGAGGTTACCAAGTAACAATGCAGCATCTTTCATGGGGAATCACCCGGACACACATACGGCTAAATACCCAGTATAATACTGACCTTTAATAAATATTTTATGCAAAAGAACAGAAAACAACGCTCCCCCACAGGCGTCTAATAACCCTGAGGCGTTTAAATGAGGTCTCAGAAATTGGAAGGACTCCCCGTCGTGAGATGGAGCAATAAGGCCAGGTATCCCTGAAGGTAGATACCTCAATGGGACTTTCATGCTCTTTAAGGGATATCTGACACTGAATATAGAAGGATGCCATACAGGCATCTATGTCTTGCTGATTTGTTTCAGCGGAAGGCACAGCTATTTTTTTTTTAATGGTACAGGTCTAGGTAACTTACCACTATCAGGTTTACCTTGGAGCAAGTAGCCTTTATGTGACCAGGCTTACGGCAGTAGTAACAGGTCATGGGTTCAGGATTCTTGTCTTGCCCCATAATATAATATCTATTTCTACAAGTACTTGTACAAGGTATACAGTCCTAGCTGACATTAGTGACATACTACTATATAGAAAGCCGCTTGTTATGCGAGGGTTTCGTGCAAATTAGGTCAGTTTTGTCCCAGGATGTGACCCATACCAGTCGACTAATACCCAGGTACCCATTTTACTGATGGGGAATATAGACAACCGGTGTAAAGAAACACCCCCAATGTTTCTGCCCTCGCCGGGAATCGACACCGGACCCTTGCCGTGTGAAGCGAGAGCTTTTGCCACCAAGCCACGGGGCACCGTGGCTTTGAGGCAGACGTTGTTTTACTGCTCCAGCCTCCTTCGCAATCAACCCAGAGGTCCTTCCACGACGATCTCTGTCCATATCAAGCTGCTGGGGTAAAAAAGTTTAAGGACCGCTCGTATAAAGAGTGGTTGGCCTCAAATATGTCAGGAAGCCTGGCCGCCTGCAGCGCAGCTTCCACCGAATGGTCTACAAACTCCTGAACCTCTGGTCCAACTGAGCCAAGAAGATTGTCAATGAAAATCAGTTGTACTAACCCACTAAAATTAGTGACACCAGTGGATTTATACCACTTAGTAAACGATTTGATCTTTCACGAACAAAGTTCACATGGGACTGACCCAACTGCTTGCTCAGTTTAAATTCTCGCCCATATTTAGCGGGAATGCGCGGATATACACCGAGTACAGCTTCTTTCACAATGTCGTAGCAAAATCTCCATCACTCAAACCAGCTGTAAATTCCTGCACAAAAGCTCGCGAAGCTCGAGCATGATTTTCGAAAGACTCGAAAAACTGTTCAGGCTCAACATCAGAAAACCGAGGAACTAACCACACAGATTTCTGAACACTGAAACGGTCATCCACAGAACGCCAGAATTGTTTCCTCTCCTCTCTATCAAATTCCTCCTCAGCAAGTGCACGTTACTCCCTGGCAGTCTCAAGGTTGAGTTTAGCCAACTCGAGCGCTAACGAAGCTCACTCCTCAGGCTGAAACGACATGTTACTCGAGTCGCACTTTAATTTGTGGCTGATGTACTCACGAAGCTGTGCAGCAGTAAGAGTTAGTTGATGCTCTGTACTAATAGAACGAGCAATTTACCAGCAGTGCGGTAGAGATAGTCTGGGCAAGTTTTGCAGGGTATATTCAGTCATCGCCTAACACGTGTTGGTGGCATA